TGAAAGGAATGGCCACCATTACCTGGGAATGTTATGGATAAACCTGCTGTAAACAAAGTCCTGGAATGTGGGAAACTATGTATATGGGATTACACCTGTATGCTATTGTGGACTGCCCCATACCTTGTGGTGCAATTTGGGTGCGAGAGCAGGTGCTTTTCTTTTGAAGAAGTAAAAAATCATTTCAAAGGAGGACGGCAAAGAATCAGCATCTGCAGTATAGAATTGGAAAGAGGAATAGAGAACTCTAAAGAATCAGAATCTGATTATAAACAGGAGTGAGAGGAAGAGAGAGACAAGACCAGACAGCTGCAGCCAGGAAATCACTGAAGCAGAGAGATTAAAGGATAAACTACTGTGGATAACAAACTTTGTACTTCTGCACAATGTCATGAAGCTCTCGATTGCAATACAACCTTGTAAACTCATTTGCAGGTCACACTTGATATTGTGTGTACAGAGGGTGTTTATTCTTACCTTGTTAGCTCCTTCCCATATCTTCTCCTACCGGATCTCTCTCCCTCTGTCCGAGCCATTTGGTCTTAATAGAGAGGACCCTTTCCACTAGTTGGCAAGTCATTAACAAAAGGGCATGAATTGAGGATTACCATGAAAAGAAAAACCCAGGGAAGTTAGAAGCTTTTTATTGAACAGAGGACTGTAATGTAAATAACTTTCAAAGCTAAGTCCACAACAACACTAGAAGACAATTTGGAAGTACTTGAGGAAAATTAATGAGATAAAATTGCCACTGTTGTAAGACTGTTGTGCTAAATTGAACCCAAGGCCTCAGGTCTACCTGACTGATTGATTGTAAATGTTTCCTGGGCTGTGGAGGGCAATGGTCACCTTTCATCAAGGAGATCAACCTTGGAAAACAAATGTTCTAAAGCAGAAACCCTTTCTACAATAATTTAATAATAACAGAATTTACAATTACAACACTCACCTTGAATAGCAAACACAGAAAATTAGGAATATTAATAATCCTTGCGTTTGATGTAGTACCTTATCATGTTATTGAAACATCTCAAAGCATTCAGTGGATTTTACTGTGAAGTGTAATGACGACTATGTAGCGTAGTGTCTGTGTAGTGACTGTCTCCCCTCTGGCTCGGCATCGGGCTTCACCATTGTTAAGTGCCCTGGAATGCCGCCTGGCATGGAGGGTGCTACATAAATGCAAGTTGTTGTTGATGTTGGATATTGTAAAGCTGAATGCAGTAGCTAATTTTCACACAGTAATGTCCCACAAAGGGCCATGAAGTGAATGACCAATCTTATTTGGGGTATTGTTGACCAAGACATGGTGATAAAAACTCCCATCTACTTTCAAGTGTACTTCCAATACTGCAATGGAGTGTCAGCCTAGTTCCAAGTTACAATGTGGGGCTTGAACCCAAAGCCTTCTGACTCAGAGATGAGAATGGTACTAACTGAACCAAGCTGACAACTTTGAGATATGCAACTATTACAAGTGTGTCACGCACATTCAGCGGCCATGTGTCCTTGACAATTAGAAAGATACGTGGCCAGAGAAAAAAGCATTGCAGCAAACCAAGATACTGTGCTAAAACCTTCAGGGCAGAACAATGTGGGAATTCTGTTTTGCCACCAGCGGCAGCTTTAATTGCTCCTAAATAATTACATCTGCTGAAGGAATATATTACCCCATAAACAAAAACAACAGGTTTCACACAGTGGGTTGAAGCGCTGCCAATATGCAATTAAATCTCAGCATAATAACCTCTAGCAGGCAAGTGAAGACAGCTGGAAGACAACTGTAAATGACAGCTTGGCAATAATACAGACTTCTTGGCTTACATAGCCAGGACGTGCTTCATCAAAGCATCTGGAACTGGTCAGCTCAAAGGATTCGAGAAGAAAATCCGCCATATATTCTTGCGCACAATGTTCTGTTGAACAGTACCTACAGCACAAGGTCCTCAAATATTTCAGAATTTATTCTTTTTCAGTCAAACCTGAATGTTTACAAAAATAATCCTTGCATTTGATATTGCACCTTATCACATTATTCAACTCATCTGAAAGCTCTTCACATACTTTACTACAAAATCTAGTGACTGTGTATCTTAGAAGCAAATTCAACAGGCAATTGCACACAGCAATATCCCACAAACAGCCATGAAGTGAGTAATTTTTTTCTGAGGCATGTTTGGCCAGGACATCAGGAGATTTTTGGCCAGGACATCAACTCCCTTCTCTTTTCAACCAGTGCCATGGGATCTTTAACATCTAACTGAATAGGCAGATGGGACCTCGGTTTAATCGTCTCATCTCAATTACCCCATCTCCAACAATGCAACACACCCCGAACACTCACTCCCAACACTGTACTAGTGTCAATTTAGACTGTGAGTTCAAAGATGTGAGGTTTGAACCTTCTGACTCAAGAGACGGGAGTGGTACCAACTGAGCCAGAACTAGAAACTATAGTGATACACTGCATATTATTTCTTGACATTTTGTATGGGGAAGGATATATCTTCTGCAGGAAACGTTGATGTGCCAGTTGGAGGGGGTTTGGCAGTGGATATTTAGATTTAGCAGATAAGCAAGACTTACCCCCAACTTCATAGCACAATGTCTGTACTGGCGACAGGACACCAAATACTAGAGCCACAGGCAATAATAATAATATTAATAATCCTTGCATTTAATACAGTGCCTAATAATGTCATTATTGTGTATTTTTAGGTGAACCTATAGATTTGGCTTCATTTATGAAGCAACAATTTACATTAATATAGTGTAGTGCCTCTTCCACCAGGGGAACATCTCAAAGTGTTTCAAACAATTTGATGACACAAAAACTTGCAGCATTATTAAGCTTTTCTCCATCACCAACTCTTCCTCCTCCAACCATGCCATCTTCCTCTCCATTTCGGCCTTCTCCCCCTCCATTTCCAACCCTGCCCGCATCTCCTTCCATCTCCAGAGCTAGCATTTCCCTTTATCTCCAGCCCTGCATCTCTGCCTCTATCTTCAGTCCTGGCACTTCTCTCCATCTCTACCTCTCTCTCTCTCCAACCAGCCTTCCCTTCTCTCGCCCCATCTAAGCTCTACCTTCCCTCTCTCTCAGGCCTACTATTCTTCTTTTATCTCCAGCCCTTACACCTCTTGTTGTATCTTGGCCTAGTTACTGCTCAGACTTATTATTTACACTCTTAACTTCTTCTCCCCAAAACAAATTAGGGCACATAATGAAGAAGTCAGATGATTAAATGTGTGGATTTCACTGTATAAATATTTCTATTCTCCATTCTGCTTAAGCGTTAAAGAGGCTTTGCCATTCACTAACAGTGGAAGGGTGAGTGATTTTGGCCAAAGCTTTAATCATTTAGTTACGAATAGCATAATGGCAGACTCCAGATTCCACTGCACTCATTTCAAGTATAGTATACTATTTTAAAGAACTGTAAATCTGGAAAACATCCAATCACAAATTGAGATTCTTTACAGATGTACTGAAAGATGGCTTCATATTTAAGGTTGTATTTACAACACAGTACAAATTTACATTAATATAGCGCCTTTCAAGCTGGGAGGATATCCCAAACAGTATTATCTGGGAACTGAGCTGAGGGTGGGAGCCGAGAAGGGTTGTCAAGGAAATATAACCGAAAGTGCGAATTTAAGAATTTGTCAACTTCTGAATGCTCAAAAATGCTGCATAAATAGAATAAATTAGACAAAGGTGGAATTTATCCCAATAATGAGGTCCGGAATCCCTAGACCTGTGGCCGATGTCAGCTGTTGCTTGCCCATATTTTGGATAAGCAGTTCTAGTTTTACATTCTGCAGGTAATTGTGTGTACACATTGTACAGCAGACTTGCTTGAATCAAGACAGAGCAAGAAATAGCAACGCCATTCCGTTTTAAACAGGAAACGTTCCTGAACGATTCGGTTTGACATTACAGATGTGTTATGCATTGGCTGTGACAGCAAATTTAGTAACTTGTTACAATCCGACCAGTATTCTGCACTGGTTATTAATATACAGGAAGGGATGTGCCATGATACCATTATGTCACCAATCTTATCTACAGCTAGTGATTGTTTTTTGTTGTCAATACTTCAACGAAAGCTTCACATCTGATGCCTGCAATCAGATGAGCTTGTTACGTCCACCAACATAGCCCAATGTAACATGGTCATAAAAGCCTGTTCCTAGAGCTATACGTCTGCCTGCAATCCCTCTGAGGATCTAATAATGTCTCTTTGACATTCAGCATTTAGCAACATCCTCAGATTTCATCCTTTCATCCACACTGTGAGTCCATCTGGACAGCAGACTCAGATCTCCTCCTGGTTTAAATGTTTGACCATTAATTCACCAATGTTCAGTGGAGAATACACTGAGGATTTATTTATTTGTTTTGGATTATCTTCTGAATGCGGAAAATCTATTTCAATCAAATCAGCTGAAACCTCAGGTCGGTTCTGTCCAAAAAACAAATTGAGATTCCTTTAACCCATCTAATAAACTGACTTCAATTGATTTCAATGGAACATTTTAGAAGGTAGAAACAATTAGGATATTTCTCACTCGGGGTCAGTGAACTGAATTACGTGGTTTTATATATCGCGGACCATCTTTGAGGAAATATACAATATCTGAGGCAACACAGCTCTGCTTTAAATTCATTGTTTGCAATTCAGTCACGGATTCTGCAGCTGACCAGCTGAGATAGTATCACAGCTGCCGTGGTTTTCAAAGCTGTCCCCCAGCTGTGATGCCAGGCATTCCAAACTCTTGGGAAAGAGGGAATGTCTTAATTCTCGGTCTCAATCCAAATGTTATTCAACCTTTCAAGCCAACTCCACCTCCCCCAAATGGAAAGGACATTAAACCTCCCCCTCCTGGATGAATATACTTTGCTGGCATCAGCAAAGGTGAACGGAACAATGACCTCCTCCCTCCCACGCGACTTTCATCAGCGCAACAGAATCCACAAGAACCAATCATTTCCTTACCTGCCACAATCTCGAAAAGGAACTTTCTCGCCTCATCTCCATTGTACGAATGCTCCGTGACTTTATTTCCAGGCAAGAAAATGGTCCCCTGTGAAACAGAGCACACGGGATCAGTGAATCGGGCGTCACATGGGAGCAGGGTGTCTACCAGTGAACCAAGCGGCAGGTTGTGCTAATGTGTCAAAAATGCAAGTAATTGAAAAATAATTTGTTGTGCCCACTGCTTCAAATCCCTCCAGCGATCAGAGGCAGTCTGCTATAACCAGGGTGAGATATAATAAATATCTCCGCCTCACAAAGTCAATGGTGTCAAAGCAAAGGGGGAAATTATCACATCACATCACGTATTTCTCCTCCCTCCTCCTACCCTAACACTCCCCCCAACACCCCTCACCTCCCCTTTGGTAGATTTAAAGCTTAAGAAAATTAGTTATGCTGCTAATGTCCTTTCATAATGGTGATGTTATACAATTTTTATTTTACTGCCATTTCTCCGCACTCAACATTATAAATTGTACTTTTAACAATGATTGAACAAGGAACAGAGAAATTACAGTACAGGAATTGGCCATTCCATCCTAAACAGGTGGCACCTTATTCGTTTGAGCTAACCATTCTGAATCCCAATTCCCTTCTTTTTCACATTACTGTGAAATGTAAACTGTGAAAACTGCGTCCTTGAAAATAACTGTTGGTTATGATTCTCATCTAACATATGGGCTTGACATCATAGTGTGTTTGCTGTAGTGCTTTATGCAGTCTTCCAATAGATTAAAAATAACCAACAGCCATCCTACCTCTACATCCAAACTGAAGCAAGGTATTCTACACATATTAGTCAAATGGCTGTCTGAGCACTTGTGCCCTGGTAAAGGCAAATTAATAAGAAATGTAAACTATAAGGTGTGAGGGAAACTCTTCCCCCCAATAAGATAAACTCAGTCAAGTCTCAGTTGCTCCTTTCTTCCTCTATAAGTCTTTCTGATGCTCCCACTCAATAGATTTGTTGGACAAAGCTTTCACAGAAGTCAATTATCATTGTAGCTTCCTGTCATACAAATATATGTAATTCTATGTAATGTTATCATTTCAGTGGGTGACAATATGATTGCTTGCTCCCCGCAGTGCAGGAGCCAAGAGATTTCTTCCACAGATCTGATGTCTTTGCATGTGTCTATCACTTCTGAGATCAGCTGGGAACCCAGCTTGAAGTGTGAAACAAGCTGATAGAGGGTGAAAGCTCCGACAACTGATGGACGGCTACACTCTCATGTTATTCTCCGGGCTCCCCCATCTATATTTTGATCCATAGTCCAGGCTGACACTCTAGTATAGTACTGAGGGAATAGAGCATTGTCTGAGGTGCTGTCCTTCGTATGAGACACTAAACCAAGGTCCCATCTGCCTAATCTGTTGCATGTTAAAGATCCCACAGTACCATTCGAAAAGAGAAGGATGTTTCTCTCGGTGCCCTGACCAACAATTCACCTACAAAATGCACAGTCACTACACTTTACAGTAAAATCCCGTGAAGAGCTTTGAGACGTCATCCTGACTTGAAAGGCATGATATTAATGCAAGGATTTTTTAAATTCACTTCATGCCTGTCTTCAGGACACTATTGTATGCACATTGGCTGCTGCATTTGCCTACAAACACTCAGTAGAAATAATAATAATACTCCTTGTATTTGATATAACAGCTTATCACATTGTCAAAATGTCTCAAAATGCTTTGGAATTTTTACTATAAAGTGTAGTGACTGTATATTTACAGGCAAACACAACAGCCAACTTGTGCACATCAATATCCAACAAACAGCCATGAAGCGAATGACCAATCTAATTTAGGGGTTTGAAACAAAAACAGAAGTCGCTGGGAACACTCAGCAGGTCAGGCAGCATCTATGGAGAAAGGAAAGTGAGTCAACGTTTCGGGTTTACGACCCTTCGTCAGAACTGGGTCATGTTGGGAGGGAGAGGCTTTTAAGGACTAACAGCATCTGCAGTATTTTGCATTTTATTTGGGGCTTGTTGGCCAGGACTCTGGGAGAAACTCCCTTCTCTTTTCGAAAAGCTGACGTACTTTGAATCGATTCGACAACATCATAAGGAGTTAAATCAAATGAACAATTATTATTATTATGTCTGTATAGTCTCACGCCATTAACTAACACTGCAGACAGAGCAGTCTTCACCAATATCCTGTTAAGTTTAAAGGTGCTTGATTAATTCCCCAATTGTGCCCACATTGCTTCCTGTTCCTGCCAGAGATTAGTTTTCCAAACAAACCCATAACAACCAGACAAATAGCTTCCTACGAAAGCTCATCATAAATGTAACCCCTTCTCTCCAGGTGCTGAACCATCAGCTTTCAGTCCCTAGTTACGCAAAGCTGTAGGAACCAGCCTGGCATGCTTCTATGCAAATGATACATCCTATGGAAACCAGGGCAACACAGAAAGGCCCATTGCTGTTGCAGCACAAAAGACAACAATTCAGATCCTGTCACAGAGCAGCCATCATCTCTTTACAGCAGTAAGTCCATCAAACCCCAGATCAAAACAATGAAAATCACAGCCCAAAGTGAAAAAATATTGCAGACACGATATACTTGCACTAACAGATGACTGCAGTGAATCCTCTCAAAAAATAGAACATCTGTTTTATGAGGAAGAATGAAAAATGACCTGCATAAAGCAGGACTGCAATACTGTGACATTTCAGCGCTTTGGGACGTCCTCCTGATGTGAAAGGCGATATACAAATTTAATTTGTTGTTGTTGTTAAAGGGGCCTTAACTTTGTGAAAAAAAGTTTGTCAAAATATTTTCCTTTCCTTGCACACAATATGATAATAATAGTAATAATGTAAATCACAATGAAAGAACCAATGTTTACCTACCCATGGCATCACCAGGATGACAATGGTGAGCGGTGAATGGTTGGGGAATGGCTTTTTCTCTTCCTTCCCTTTTTCATGAAAACAATTCCCATTTAAAGACAACCAGGCATTTTTCTCTGTCATTGCTGACCCTGAGTGTGGTTGTTAGTTAAAGGTGCCCAGCTATAAATCAAGATCATACAGCACCAAGTTCAGTGCCTCTCTAAAGTCATCAATAATTGTCATCCTTTTCGCTAGACTACAAAGAAGACTCTTTTGCTTATACCCCTCCCTCCTCCCCAAGCAGCAGAAAAGATGAAAGTTCACTACTTTTCTACACATAAGAAAATATACCCGAAGCATTAACCCCTCCTTCCCAACCTCCAGACTAATATTTGTAGCTCTGAAAAGAATAATAATGACAGATGGCAAGGTCAAGAACACATTCTTGGGCAAGACATTTAATCTCATGGCTCCATTGCTAGTTCTGCTTGTGTGTCTAATACAATTATTAAATGGGGCTGATAGAGCATAGTTTGTACATGGATAATTTGATCTGAAGATTAATTTGGGTATGTATTCAAATATAGCACTGTACAATGCAAATAAAGGTTCAGATTGAATTTAAAATAAAATAGGCATCTGTGATAACACACAGTATAAACCAATTAAAATATATACAGGTATTTCCAATTTGAAAAGCTGAATACATTTACAATTATTATCACAATGAATTTCTATTGAACAGATAGCTGAAAGGCTTTTTGATGCCTCTTTAAATACAAAAGTATTTTTCAGTTTATTTCTCAGTAATTATAACATGGAGATTTTGTTGAGTGAGAATCAGGATTAACAAGTAATTTAACACTATCAAATTAATTCCCTCATCTAAACTTCCAGCGAAACTCAATTATGCATATTAATGTTTTATCTTAGAGTCAGTCAATTGTATAACTTCAACAAAGGTCGCTTTCTAATTCTATTTGTATAATAATCCTTGTATTTCGTATAGAGCCTTTCACATCAAGAGGATGTCTCAAAGCATTTTACAGATCCACTGCAAAGTGTCGTGACTGTGTATTTTGTAGATGAATTGAGCAGGCAGTTTGCATACAGCAATGTCACAGTCATGAAATAAATATCTGAATTTATTTGGAGAATTGTTGGTCAGGACAACAGGAGAATCTCCCTTCTCTTTATGAATAGTGCCATGGGATCTTTAACATCCATCCAAATAGGCAAACAAGAATTTAGATTAACATCTTATCTGAAGGATGGATTTTCCTTTCACAAAGCCTTACAAAGCATCCGCAAATTACAGTTTGTTTGATAAATGTTTGAATACTCATTTCACTAACACAAAGGGAGGGAAATTACACTTCTGCAGATCCTCTAAATCTATGTGAATAGGAAATGGGAACTTCACCGCAAAAAGAAGAGTAAAAAGGGCAGTTCAACCCTTACCTGCATTGGTTGCAATGCAGAATGCTGTGTTTCAGTAAGATGCCCAATCACAACACTCAAAACAAGAAGATATATTGATGTCCTCTTCCAATGTGTAATACTTATGCATTTTAGAGCTAAGAGTAAGGTTAGGGATGTGTGTGTTCAAGCTGTGGACTGGAGGATGGTAGCAGTGTTCTCACAAATTTCCTGCTGCACAACAAGAGGCTTCTAGGTACCTGCTATCTATCTACTGAGGGCTCAATTCTGATCTGTTGCATGTCTGATGACCAACTAGTGATTATCCCCTTTGGGTACGTGAGGTCTAATGGGGCCAAGTTTGCTTGAAGATGATGTGGCTGGCGTGTCAGAATCAAATCAATCCCCTGTAGTGCCCTTGGTAGTTGGGTTCCTAAGCCAGGAAAGGCTGTTGTGCTCCAAGGCACTGTTACATAAGACCTTCCAACTTGGTTTGTTGGCAGGACTTTGAGAGGCAGGGATTCTTTTCACTCAGCAACAGTTAACCCTGCAAGTCAAGGCCCTAAACGGTAGGATGGTCCTAGATGAGTAAGTTAGCAGGAAGCTTGCACTGGCAGGCTTTGTGGTTTTAGCTGGTCATAGCCTTGTCTGTTCTTTGCCTGTCTTCAGATTGCACCTGAAGACTTTCTTCTTTGACCGTGCCTACGGTCACCTCCCCTTCCTCCCCAGATCAGATAATGTTATAAGTCATAAGTTCAAATCGTGAATGGTTTATAAATAACAC